ATAGAATCCCAGCAGAGGGAAGAGAGAAAGAAGACACTTTTAAATGCCAAGTGTTTGGGGGTTTGATTTGGTTTTGTTTTGTTTTAGGCTATTTGACTTGAGCTTGTTGATTAATCAAGGGGGAAACATAGTTTAAAAAACAACAAAAACAACAATGGCGGGGGCGGGGGGGTGCCTGGGTGGCTCAGTTAGGCGTCTGACTTCATCTCAGGTTATGATCTCATGGTTTGTGAGTTCGAGCCTGGCATTGGACTTTGCACTGGCAGTGCAGAGCCTGCTTAGAATTTTCTTTTCCTCCCTCTCCCCCACTCGCTCAAGCGCTCTCTTTCTCTCAGAATAAACATTAAAAAAGAATAAAGACAACAATGAAAGGTTATACTCTAAGGGGATTTTTTTCCAACATTTGCTTTTCTAGCTTTTGTAAAAAATCCTATTTATATTTAGTTTTTACAAAATTACCCTTCATGTTTAATATATAGTTTGATAAAATTCCCACATTTGTTTGCTTTTTCCATTACAGTTTTTAGATTAGCTGATTCTGGATTAAATTGCAGAGGGATAAGGGGAGCCTGGCTGGCTTAGAAGGTGGAGCATGCAACTCTTGATCTCAGGGCTGTGAGTTCAAGCCCCACATTTGGCATGGAGCCTATTTAAAAAAAAAAAAAAAGTAGAGGACGGACAAGGGATTTTTCTCACTTGGAGCTATTTTCAAATCACAGAGGAAGTATCTAGTGATCCAAGAGTTCCCAAATGGCGCTAAGAAAAGAAGTGAAATTCCCGGGTCAAACAATTTGGGAAAGGCTGTACATTTAAAATCTCCCTCTTAGAGACTGACAAACCACATTAGCATATTACAGCCTAAGGTGTTCTACATTAAGCAAAACAAACAAACTAACTAAAAACCTATCTAACACTTTAATAAATTAATTTCCCCCAAGGAAATGCTTTTTATTCTGTATTAACATGGCAGAAGAATTTCCCCTTAGCACCAGTTTGGGTAACTTTGCCAGAGCAAACTGATTTTACCTATGTTCTATGTATTTTTGTTAGATTTTACAATAGAGAAGTTTTTCTCCATCTTCTCTCTCTCTATTTAAGGATTAATGTTACCTTAGGGACTTGGAACAGTCCCTAGACTATCTACAGTGAAGAATAGTGGTGACATCACCAATTAATTACCTGGGGGACCCCTTTATAACACTATAGCGAAGGGAATTAACAGAAGATTGGACAGAGGATAAAGATGGTTGGGGATAGGTCAACAAGAGACAATGCCTTTAATTAACGTTAACAAAATTTCCTGCTCTGTGAAAGGACTGGTAATTTATTAGGAACCTTTCTAGAAGGATATGATTGAGGACAGGATTAAAGTGCCTTTTTATGTGTCTGAAGGAAGCAATCAACTAAACTACAATCACTTTAAATTAAGACATACAATTGGAGATAGTAACATATTTTGAGATTCTGATGAAATAATCATGACATCATCCTCACAGAAATGGGTGATCTAATCATGGATTGAAAGAGAAAATATTGTGGAGAACAGATATGTCAGGGTGGCAGTGTGCAAGTACCAGCATCACTCAGAGCAGAGCAGAAAGCAATGGGATTCCAGTGTGAACCCTGATGAGGTCTAACCTAAACCTGCAACCAATCCTCCCCCACCCATCTTTTAAAGTGATTATTGGGGTGCCTGGGTGGCTCAGTCAGTTAAGTGTCCAACTCTTGATTTCTGCTCCCGTCATGAGTTCAAGCCCTGTGTGGAGCCTGCTTGGGATTCTCTATCTTGCCTTTTCTCTTTGCCCTTCCTGCTCTCTCAAAATAAATAAATTTTTTAAAAAGTGACTAAATACAACCAACTTTTTTAAAATTGCTATTTCATGTATATACATACTAGTATTTAAATTCATCCACACATCAAGAATTGGAAGACAATCATCATTTACATGAGACCTAAAATAATGTTTTGGCTCCAGGCTCCCTCTACTGTCTCTGCAATAATAGAAAAACATTTTATGGCACTCTCCTGACTAGATTCCAGTATTTATAAAAGTCAAACAAACACAATTCTTGTGCAATAAATAATAAAGAATATTCTCAATAGGATAACCAGGAAGTTCAATATTTGGAGAAAATTGAACAAATTATAAACTAGTTAATGAAATATTACATAGATTGAATCAATGACCATATGAAGGTCATTATTTGACCATTTTTTATCCACAAATTGTCATTTCATATGGTTCAACCTTATATATGAACATTTAATTGTCAAAGAACAGTAAGGAGTGGTGTGTGTGTGCGTGTGTGTGTTTATATGTGTGTATGTATGTGTGTTGGGGAGTGGTTATTGCTTTTAATCTTTATTATGAAATTCGCTAAATACACTGTTTAATTTACATGATGCTTCTTGATCAAAATTAACTACAGGATGTGTTGGGTCCAGTGTCTTATATATAATATAGTACAGTCTATAACTTGGGTTTAGAAGAAAGAAATCTGCCTTCAGTTTAAAAAGTGTGAAGATACAAAATGTTTCACACAGGAAAGTAAATGAAAGAAATGTAGAAAAGCCTTATGTTTACAAGAGGAAAGCTGGAAATAAAATAGTTAACATTTTAACTGTGAAAGGAGGAAGTAGGGCAATTTGCATATACTTCAAACAAACTCACACTATTGTGAAAACCTGCAAATCCTGGAAAGAATTAGAGGTAAAAGCCAAAGTCAATACACTTCAAATACCCTTGATGTTTCACAGTCACTAATGAGAAAGCATCTCCTGGGTAAGTTCACACTTTGCACAAAATAAATATTAATTCTGTTGTTGGTAATTTTCCAAAAAGTTAATATTTTACAGTTCAGAATTTTATTTCTTAAGTCTGCCTTTGAAGCTGGGAAAATGCTTTTTGAAGTTCTGTTTTCATAGTCCTAGGAATTTACTCTAAGAATGAAAGATGCTATCAAAGATTTACTTGCAAAGATGTTCATCAAAAACCTTATTTTTATAATTACTGCCCACTACTTTAGTTTTATGGCTAGCATAGTGCCTAATATATAGTAAGCATTCAATAAACGTTCTTGAAAGAAAGAATTACAGGAGAAAAGTTGGAAATTGCCATATTGGGGACAGATTGATTAAATAATGAATAAATTGTGGTTTATACATATCATATAATATTATATGGCCGTTAACAATGTTTTGAAGATTCTTAAAGACATTGGGGAAATGTTAAGACATTGGAGATAATGTTAAGCAAAAAGAGATGCTAATAATGTGTACAGTATTTAATACAAACTTTATATGAACATGAAAAGGCTAGAAGGAAAAAATAAGTTACTGACTGAAATGGTTTTTATTTTTTCTTTGTGCTTCTCTGTATGTTGCAAATTTTCTATCATGAACACGTATTACTTTTTTGTAATCAGAAAACCACCAAATGTTAACATTTTTTATGATGTTCTGTTAGCATTCAGATCTGTATTAAAAATTTATCCATTAAAAGCCATGGAGTTTTATAAATAGAGATAGTTGTTGTGGGGTAATTCAGTATCTGTATGAGTGTTTGGCTTTGCCTCTTCACTTTGTTAAAACAAATCCTCCCTACATAGATACTTTGGGTAGTTTATTCAGTGCCCTGAATGCAGGAACAAGAACTAAACTGTGATATTTTTTTCATCAGAGAGAAATAAAATAACCATCATTGGTTCAAATAGGCACTTTACCTAAATTATCTTTAATCATTTCACAGCTATCCTGGATATAGGTACTTTTATTCATATATATAATATTATAGTAGAAGTAATAATAGCTAAGAGTTACTGATCAACTGTCATGTGCCAGACTCTATCAGGGACTTATTTTCTCTCATTTCATGTTCTGAGCTACCAGGGAAAGTAGTGTTATTACCCCACTTTGCACTTGGAGACCTTTAGGCCGAAGGTGGAAGCCAGAGCTGTCTAACCTCTCCTCTATGTGGAGAAAATACTTTTATTCTCCAAGGTCATAAAAACCATTTTTGTCCCTTCTTTCGGGAACAATAAATATTGAAAACACTGCATTCTACAAATGAACTTGAGATCTTCTGTTGAGGGAAAGATGTGTAGGAAGAGGAAGCTTAATCAGTTAAATTTGGAGTTTCTTTACATTTCTTTTGGGTGCGATAATGGAAATAGCCAATCGGATGTTACTCATTTATCAATACTAAACAAATTCATCAACCCTAATGTTTCAAAGGCATTGACTGAAAAATATAATGAATTCCCTTTTGCCTTGATTGAATGAAAAGTCTTCAAATTTCAGACATCACCTATGTAATGGTGTTCCTATAATAGTGGGGCTAGTAGTTTTCTATGTCTGGATCAAACTGGGTATGTATTTGTCTAGGACTCATTGAGTTTTTTATAAAAACAACAACAACAACAACTTCCATTCTGACTTTTTTCCTTTGCCTCCTCCCCTCCATCTAGGAATCCAAGGATATTAAATGAATCAAAAAATACTGACTGTGGACAGATGATTAGGATAACTTAAAGATAACTAAATCTCTATATATTCTTGGTTCCTGAAATTGTCCAACTGGTTCTATTTTGATGATGATGATGATGATGATGATGATAAAGGTGATGAAATTTACCACGTTTAAAGCATCTTCTACATGTCAGAGTAGTATATACTTTGTTATTTGAAGCATACTATCATCTACCAAAGTACACATTCCCAAAAAGGCACCTAACCCCAGAGGTTAGTTAGGGATTTATACTGCATATCATGTGGCTACTTAGTGAAATTTGAATCCAGATTTGATTCCAACAAACCCTGTCGCCTAGCAACAAATCGATCCTAGAGACTTCCCGATCCCAAATAAAGAAAAGTAACCAATTCCTTCCTGGAAGCCTAGCTAGACGCACAATTAGAATTTTCTAATAGAAATGCGACCCCACCCTCTTTTGTGACCAAAGCAGTTATTTAAGCTGTAAAGCCTCCCATTGGCCAAGTTCAACTTCACATCCCAGGACGTGGTCCCCGTTGGTGGGAGAAGAGGGTCCCTGTTTTAATCACTTGAATCTGATTTCTGGGGAATCAAGACCCCCGGGAAACTAGTATTTTCTTGGGCGACCTCAGGTTGGAGACCAAGTCCTGCAGGCGACATTTGTTCGCGACATCTAGAGATAACCCTTTCTCCAAACTCAAGACTTCTTATATCCACACTCCCGTTTTCCCTCTCCCCGCCAAGAATAGCTATGGACAACGACATTCCAATACCGTTTTCTGCAGTTCTCAGAGTAAAGAGTGCACGTCCGGACGTGCGTTCGAGACCACATGCACCCGGTTCGCAGCGCGGCGGAACCGCTCGACAATGCAAACCCCGGGTGTCCCGCCCCGCCTCCATTGCGAGTCCCAGAGTTTGCTCCGCCCACGCCCCGCCCCCGCCCTGCCCCTCAACCCCGCCCTATGCTCGCTCTGCCCCTCTGCCGCGTCCAGGACTTTCTCAGCTTCCTTCACCTGGCCTCGCAGGACCTCCCCCGGCCCGTGCCCGCCACAGCTCCCCGGGCGCGGCCCGCCTCCTCCGCGGCCCTCAGCTGCTCCCCCAGCTCGCCCCGCCCTCGCCCCTCTCCTTCCGCTTTCCAGAGCGGCTCCCAGAGCTCGCGCCGCGTGGGGTCTCGTCTCCTTGGCGACGACGCAGTGTGTTCAGCTCCTGGCTCACGGCACCGCGCGATCCCCGAGCTGTGCTGGCCTTCGGTGTCCGCCCTGAGGACGGGCGGTGTGAGAGAACCACGGACAGGTAGGAGACACCACGGGTGCCCTCTCCCCGCCCTCGCGTGCAGTGGGACCCGGCCCTGGCCTCCCACTCCCCCAGGCGCCGTTCCTGAACGCACCAACTTCTCTGCCCCCTGCAGGTTCGGGCTTTGGGGCTCCACGGCTGCCGAGGCGGCGCTCGGAAAGGTAGGAGAAGCGGAGCTGGCGGTGCACCTTGCACTTGCCTTCCTCCTTTGGCCGTAGTCAGGCACTCGGGAAGGGATATAGTGTTTGTGTCTACATGGGTGTGATTGAATACTGGGGTATTCAATGGGGGTGTACACCACCATTCTCTGACCTGCCCATTACCGTGCGCCAAGGGCCCCCTCCCCTCCCAGAAAACCATGAAAATGGCCTCATTGCATCGCAGAGCTTCCAGCTACTTCGTTTGATCCTCTCCCCCCCTTTAAAACAAACAAACCTTTTTTCTTTTACCTGTTTTTTTTTCCTTTTTTTATTTTTTTTATTTTTTGGGGAAACAGCTTAATGGCCAGGAGCCAGCATTCACTGTACTTAAGAGTCATCACTAGACACAACTTGCCCAGCCATAAAAAAATTCTTGTGAAATTTGGACAAATCGTTGAAGCTCCCTGGACCTTGTTTTCATCTTCTGTAAAATGAGGGGCTTGGACAGTGAATCACTTCTAAGGTCCAGTCTTCTGCCTTCTGTGAGGTGATGAAATTGACTTGAGATTTGCAAAATTAAGATGTGTGGCCTTTGATATGAAAAAGACTCTGCACTGTGCCCTTATGGCACTTAAATTAACGTGTGGCATAATTATACATTTGTAGTTTGACTTGCTAGAGGGCATAGGTGAATTACACCAATTTGTTCATACCCCCCAAGAGACTCCTGGAAATTGTTTTCTAAAAATAAATCTGAAAAAGACACTGAAAATGTCATTTGTTTCATTCTCTTAAAACCAAATGCAGTGATCCCCAGATCCACCTTAATTTTTTTTATTTTTACTCTCAAGAAAGATTTTTCCAGAGGTGAATTCCAGCACCTTTGTAGGGATTCCACTGCACTACAGAATTCTAGAGCTTCCTACCCTCACCACCCCCATTTGAGCTAAATGTTCAGTGTTTTCTCCTGCTTCTTTGCTCAATCCAGTCTCACACGTGAAAGAGTTTAGACCTGGCTTTCTTAGAATTTACTGTCAGCACTGTCCTTGCTAGGTGGTAGGTGTAGTAATAATGGTAATAGGAGGAGGAAGTTGTAGTAATTATAATCATAAGAGGAGATAGGTGCTCTTATTTGTTGTTAACTATATTAATCCTCATTATAACTCTAGGAGGTAGGTAGTATTTTTGTCCTCATTTTACCGTTGAGGAAAGTGAATCCTAGAGAGATTAAGGAACTGGCTAGGTTCACACAATTTGCTGAGGTTTGAACACAAGCAATCTGACTCCAGAGTCTGGGCTCCAAGGTCCACATTATGCTGTAAAGAAAAGATATAAAATATATGTGTAATCACTTTTAAATTAGAATGTAAATGATAGATGATCATTAAAACCTTTTTTTATATACACTTGAAGCTATGCAGTGGAGATTGTCCTTGCATCCTATTCTCTAGGCTTCTCTAGGATGGAGGATGGTGCTTAATCAGCTGTCTCCTCATCGCAGTTGAAGGGCCTGAGCATGTGGCTACTTCTTAATTCATCCTTTGCCTATTAGAATACTAGGTGGCTTATAAAAACAAATAGCCCAAAAGGAAAAAATAATTGCATAAAGATGATGGAGGAAAATGTGTTTGTGTGTGTGTGTGTCTTCCGATATTACAAGAGAAACCTAAAAGGAGAATTTTGTGAAAGGTGAATTTTGAATGCTGGTAACTCAGTGTATAAAAGGTTTTTTGAGGGGCGCCTGGGTGGCTTAGTCGGTTGAGCGTCCGACTTTCGCTTAGGTCATGATCTCACAGTTCGTGGGTTCGAGCCCCACGTCGGGCTCTGTGCTGACTGCCAGCTCAGAGCCTGGAGCCTGTTTCAGTCTGTGACTCCCTCTCTCTCTGACCCTCCCCTGCTTGCGCTGTCTCTCTCTCTGNTGTTTCAGTCTGTGACTCCCTCTCTCTCTGACCCTCCCCTGCTTGCGCTGTCTCTCTCTCTGTCTCTCTCCTAGAAATAAATAAAACATTAAAAATTAAAAAAAAAAAAAGGTTTTTTGAAACCTACAGAATCCAAATGAAACCTCTTTGCTGGTTAGTGAACACTTACCTAGAGGTGTAAGGGAATCAGATGTTTTATATTCTTTTAAAATTTTTTATTTAAAAATTTTTTTAAATGTTTATTTCTGAGAAAGAGAGAGACAGCGTGAGCAGGGGAGGGTCAGAGAGAGGGAGACAGAATTTGAAAGAGACTCCAGGCTCTGAGCTAGCTGTCAGCACAGAGCCTGACGCGGGGCTCGAACCCACAAACCACGAGATCATGACCTGAGCCGAAATTGGACGCTTAACCGACTAAGCCACCCAGGCGCCCCTATGTTCTTTGTTTAGTACAAAGTCTATATTCTATACATATCTTAAATTGAACCAATCACATTTCAGGTGTTCAACAACCACATATGTCTAGTGACTACCAAATTGGATCACAACGTTCTAGTTTAAAACTTTCTTTTCTTTTGCTTTCTTCCTTCCTATTCAACAAATATTTATGGGCACAGTTTATGAGGTGCTTGAGTTTTTCAGTTCTTTGTAGCCAAAAAAACTAGCTGAACCAATTGGGCCTTTGAGTGGAGTTTTTATTGAGAGAGTCAGTTTTTCCATAAATGCTACAACAGCACCACATAAAACTCATGTGTTGCACCATGTGTAGAAAATCTGTCTGCAAGGAGAGAGAAGAATGAAACGCACCTGCAGGGAGAAGCTGAGATGAACAAGGGAAAAACCCCATGCCCCTCCTTGAACACAGCTGTATCCACCATTCCTACTTCCACAAGACTTGGGTATTTAACTCTTGGATTCTATGAGCCAACACTTTTCTTCTTTTGCCTAAGCTAACTTGAACATGGTTTCTGTAACTTGCAACCAAGAATCCAGACTAATATAGTTAAAATGCTAAGCACTAAACCCTTTCTTTAAGAAACGAGCCCATCATGACCTCCATCCTGACCCCAAAGTACATTTTAATTTACAAAATAAACAATATTTCTTAACATATATAATCACATAATTATGGCTTTATAAACCACTTTGTCATGTACGTTTTATATATTAACTGGGTACATTTATCTTCTGATTAGTACTACTCATCTTTTAGTCATTCAGTATTTTTCTTTCTTTTTTAAAAAATTTTTAATGTTTATTTTTATTTTATTTTGTCTTTTTGAGAGAGAGACAGAGTAAGTTGGGGGAGGGGCAGAGAGAGAGGGAGACACAGAATCTGAAGCCTGCTCCAGGCTCTGAGCTGTCAGCACAGAGCCTGATGCGGGGCTTGAACTCATGAACAACGAGATCATGATCTGAGCCAAAGGTGGATGCTTAACCGACTGGAGCCACCCCAGTGTCCCCCACCTGCTTCTTAAATGTTGGTATTTGTCAGGATTCTATCCTTGGCCTAGTCTTATTCTACATGGGCTAGGCCATCCATTCCCACTTTTTCACAGCTATCCTATAAATCATCTTTTGTCTTCAGTTCTAACTCTTTAACAGAATGGAACATCACTTGATTTCAGATGATCTACAGACATCTCCAGCTCAGGATTTCCCCCAAATAAACTCATTATCCCTGCTCCCCCAAATGTCCCTCCTCTCGTACCCACACCCTAGTTATCCATACACTTCTTTTCTTCTCCCTCACTTCTATGCCTAGTGACCCTCAGTTTTACCTCTCTTTTGGTCCCAAGTATATCTTCATGGCTTTGTACATAATCCTTTTGTCCTCTGGACTAGGATTTGGCAAATTTTTTCTGTAAAGGGCCAGATAATATGTATTATAGGCTTTGTAGGCCAGATAGTCTTTGTTGAAACCATTCAGCTTTGCCATTGTACTCTGAAAGCTGCCATTGACAATGTACAAACAAGCATGTCTGTTCCAAAAATATTTCATTTGTAAGAGTAGGCAATGAGTCATATTTGGCCCATGAGCTGTAGTTTGCCAGCCCCTGATGACTGCAGTAGCCTTTTAAATGATTTCTCCACCTCCTTCTCTCTCCAGTTTACTCTCCACAGAATTTCTGTTCTAAGATAGTTCTAATCATATGATTATGCTTCAAAACCTTGGTTTGCTTTCCATTGCTTACTGTTTAAAACCCCAAACCCTTAGCATGTGATAATTAATGACTTTTAAACTTTGCTCCCACATATATATCCAACTTCATCGATTGCCATTTTCTAAGACACTGCTTGACTGTTCTTCCCCTTCTGTTGACTGCCTACTTGACTAAGGAAATGTCACCTTCATTGTGAAGCCTGACTCTTGCTTCCTATAGCAGGTAGAACAAAGCCATGATCTAGGGATATTTGTAGGAATCATAATACCTGAGGGAATATAGCAAACCTGGAGGACATGCCTCAGAACTGGATTCTGCAACTGAAAGTTGTTTGAGAATAGTTCTATTGACTAGACTCTTCCTTTGTCTTTCCAATTCAGTCTCCACTGCCTGCTGACTTTCCTTGGGTATCTCCCATCCATGAGCTCAAAAGAAGGGATTTGATTGATCCTGTTTGGGCATTATGGAAAATTACATTAGCAGGAAGCATTTAATACAGTACTTTGAAGCTTGGTCTGTCCTTTATGTAGAAAAGTTAGTAGTTGTTTCCCCTATAAAATTCTGAGCTTCTCTTGTATCCATAGAGCTTATCACAGACTTATTTGTGTTAAGACACATAGTAGGTATTCATCAAATATTTGTTGTAAATAGACATTGAGTATTGGGACATGATATAGACATGGAAATTGGGAACTGTCATAACTGTGTTGTTCCCTTTACCACTAGACTGTTGAAAGACATCAGAAGAGTCTCCCTATGTTCCAAAAGCCAGAGGGTATATACTTGGTAAAGACTCAAATCTGATTAATTGAATGTTGTGATGTTAACATTAACCATATATAATAGTGATGAATATACAAAGTGTGCATGTGTATACCATTCTTTCTGGATATTATGATCTCAGTTTGACTAAGGGCCACTGGGCAGAGAATTTAGGTGGCACAAAAGCCAACATACCGCTTACATACCTGTAAGAGGCAAATAAACAGAGATTAAAATGGCATTGTAAATTTTTTAAATTGCTTTTTAAAAAATAGATATACATTTATTTTGTTCAAAGTTCAAGAGATACAAATGGAGGCGCCAGGGTGGCTCAGTCGGTTAAGCGTCTGACTTTGGCTCAGGTCATGATCTCATGGTTCTTGGTTTCAAGCCCCATGTCAGGCTCTGTGCTGACTGCCAGCTCAGAGCCTGGAGCCTGTTTCAGTCTGTGACTCCCTCTCTCTCTGACCCTCCCCTGCTCACGCTGTCTCTCTCTCTCAGAAATAAATATAATATTAAAAAAGAGAGAGAGATAAAGATACAAATGGACATAAAGTAAAAGTCTCTCTCCCACCCCAGTCCTGCAGTCATCTCTTTTTCCTCCTCAGAGTCAACCATTATTGTGTTTCTTTTCCTACAATGGCTGGACCTCATTCGTCTCAGCTTAAGTCACTGCTTTAACTCTACCCATGTTCTCAATTACTCTTTTTCCCTGGAGTCATTGATCTTTCTAAGCAAGTATCATTACTTTGGGGCTTAGGTGATTTTTTAAAATTAATTAATTAAAAGCCCTCAGAACTAGTCTGCTTGTCTCAATCACAGTAAAACCTTATCTTTGTTTCCCTAAGCAATCTTAACCAGTCCCATAGGACATCTTTGCAGTTTTTTTCTTTAGATAAAACATCAAGCTGTTTGTACAGCATCCCTCCTATTAATCATCCTGTTAAATCCATACAATGATCCAATGAAGTTGGCACCATTGTGATTCCTATTTTACAGACAGAGGAACTGAGGCCTAAAGAAATGAAGTAACCTACTAAAGCTTACATGGAAAGTGGTAGAACTGGGCTGTGAATCCAGTCTCTTTCACTAAAGAACCCCAACTCTTGACTATTACTCTATACTGCCCTCCACCCCATAGAATTCAATTTTATGAAAGCAGATTAAATGAACATTTCCTAGATAAAGATAAATCCAGACCTAGCAGAGCCTGGGTTTCCATCAAGGCCTGGGATCTGCCCACCCTAGGTTTTTCTTTTACCAGGTAAAAACGGGAAAATTGTATACACTGATGTTTCATCCAGGTAAAGGGTAGAATGTAGCAATTTGGAGAGAAGGGCTCTAAATATAAAGATGATGTCTACCCAGATATATGGGCTTCCACAGAATTGTGGAAATCTGTAGAGAGTACTTCTCAGGACAGATCATCTTGGATTTCTTTTGTAAAGATCTCATTTGGTTCCTTATTGCATTGTTTCAGCTTTTGAGCTCTCCTGCCCTGGAGAAGTAGGGCATTTATGCTAGAGGTTGGTCTTCTACAACTCTTTTTCCCAAAAAGATGCCTTGCTTTTCAGCTCTCTCTAAATTTCTCAGAGGGATAATCAGATGAATAATATATATAATGTGTGACTTGATCAGAATTCCCCAAAAAACAAAGCCTGAGGCAAAAGTTTATGTACTAATGCTTAATCCAGAGTGCAGATTAGTACAGAGTGCAAATCATTTCGAGGCAGACAGATTTAAAAAGAGAAAAACTTAATATAAACTAGGAGCTTCTCTTTTGTTGTCCACAGTTTTGGCCCTGAATTTTGTATTCCAGAAATCCTTAGTAGGTACTACTAGTAATAATATTTGAAGTCTTGCTTGGGATGTAGGGACAAGTACTGGGGAAAGAGAGGGCAAGTGAATTGTTATTTATGAAAAATTTAAGTGTGGCCTCTCTCATACTTAAAGCAAAAAACCAAAACCCTTAAAAGTTGGTTTATCTCTTTACAATTAAAATTAAATTTTTCCAAATATGTAAAGGGCTAAGTTATAGGAAAATCTACTTAGGGTAACCTAAGAAAGGTAAACATTCACAGAGAAAACATTATAAGTACTAATAAATACATAGGGGAACCTAAAGATAATAATTGTATTTTAAAATGTATCTTTGGCTAAAATCAAAGGTTAATTTCTAAATGTATTTGTTGAAATAATATTTTATTTAAAATACTCTTCAAATACCATGGAAAAGTTTCTTATTCTGGCTTAAATATACTGTATGAAGGATTTTTTCATAACATAGATGAACTGGAATGTGGCAGATAGTTTGGTGTGTATATTGTTTTATTTTGTTAAAGTAGGGGAGAAAAGCAGTGTTGTAAACATGAGCCAAGCTGAATTTATAATTTCTAGGCTCAGCTCAGTAGGAAGAGAGAGTCCTTAGCCTCCTGTTGATTGTATTTGGATCTGGATCTAGAGTGAGTCCAAGTTACATAAAACCAAAACAGTAACAGAGAATTGGAGACTTATTTAATACATCAGTTTTCTTAACGCGCAGTATTATTCCTATAGCTCTTTTTACATAAACTCCAAGATGAAATGGGGAGAAGGGGAAGTGTTAATTTCTCTAGACTTTTTTAACCCAATTTCATAATCCAAAAGAACAAAGTTTTTCAGTTAGGATGTAAGTAATACTACTAAACATACACACACACACACACACGCACACACGCACACATACACACACACAATATTTAATACCCTTCTGACAGAGTTCTGCATTGTTTTATTTATAGTCTAAATTTATACAGCATTTAAAGACTTGGGAAGTTTTAATATTTTGGGGTTTTGAGGAATTAAGACAGATGTAAAGTTAAGACTATATAAACTATTTTTAGGATACTTTAGATCTCTTTTACCATCAGTTTATATGGTTTTTGAATAATTGACTTTAGTGTAAAGTTACATTTTAGCCTAGATAATAGAAATGTTTATATAAAAGCTACATAAATGATTCCAAATACCTCAAACTAAAATATTAATGATAATGCTAGTTTTTATTTCTGCTTCTATTTTAGGAACCAAAGTATAGACAGAACGGCAGATTGCTAGTGTTTGATCCAAAGGGTAAATGATTTATTACTTAAAAAGAATATGTTTCATCACCATTTTATCCTAAATATTAAGAAGATAGTCATTGGATTGATTGAATGTGATTGAAGTCTTAGCAATTAAATCCTTTAGTATATTGTCTGTCATTCAAAAACTGCTTAGGTTTATTTATCAATCAGGAATTCTGTTAGGAACATCACTACAGATAAAATTCTGAGTTGTGTTTTTCTTTTCTTCTCTTTCAGCAAAAGTGATTGAGCCAAATGAAGCAATGTCAGAGTAAGATGTCTCCAGTTGTGCAGCTGATCTATCACATGCCTTTTAAGCAATTAGAACTAGATAATGCAATCATTTGTCACCCAATTAAATTTGAAAGGCCAGAAATGCATGGATTAGCACTTTAGCTTTTGCTTCGGTTAAAGCAGTTGCTACTTTAGATAAAAGGACATTTAAAATGAAAAATGAATTTTGATAAAAGTACAGAGGTATAGATAATATTCACTTCCACTTTTTAAATGCTTAAATACCAAGTAATCTGTATTTTACTTATATAATTTCCATTACTCATTCCTGTTTCCTCTTGGTATTTGCTCATTTCTTTCAGGATATCCCTTTAAATTAACATTTACTCTAAAATTAAAGATTCTTTATTTACTATGAGATGAATCATTACTATTAAATAAGGGAAACTAATCACCCCAAGTAGCTGAAGGGGCTGGTGTTATAAAGAATCATGGTCCAGTTTTAGTATAGTAGCTACATATTCAGTATTTGCTTTGTTTAAGGCACCGATTCTGATAATTCTTTTTTTTTTTTAATGTTTTATTTATTTCTAGGAGAGAGAGAGAGAGACAGCGTGAGCAGGGGAGGGTCAGAGAGAGAGGGAGTCACAGACTGAAACAGGCTCCAGGCTCTGAGCTGGCAGTCAGCACAGAGCCCGACGCAGGGCACGAACCATGAGATCATGACCTAAGCGAAAGTCAGATGCTTAACCGACTAAGCCACCCAGGCGCCCTGATTCTGATAATTCTTAAAAGCCCTTCCTGATATGATGACCTCTTCCCTCCTGAAAAAAAATTCTATTTTTTATCCCATGAAAATTGCACTTTGAAAATTGATTGTAAAACACATATCAACAAATTGGTAGAGTGGTGCCAAATTGATATTATTTTGGTTTATTCTGAGTATAACTGGCTGGGAAATTTTTCACCTTATGCAATGTATATTTTAATCTTCATACTGTCAAAGTTAAAAATGAAAATTACAGTTTACCTTGGATTTTGTTGCAAATTATATTTTAAATACATGTGTTTATATTAAAGAGAAATAGTGGGGTTGCCTGGGTGGCTCAGTCAGTTAAGTGTCTGACTCTTTGATTTCAGCTCAGGTCATGATCTCATGGTTTGTGTGTTCAAGTCCATGTCAGTAGCCTGCTATCAACACAGAGCCTGCTTGAGATTCTCTCTCTCCCACTGTCTCACTGCCCCTCTCCCACTCGTTCTCTCTGTCTCTCAAAATAAACAATAAAAAAAATTTTAAGAGAGTGTGTAATGGATCAAAGACAGAGAATCTATTTTTATTTCAGATTGTTATAGACAACCAGAAAAAATAAATGCCACATTACATATGTCCTCCTCCTCCTCCCCTCTTCCTCCTCCTCCTCCCCTCTTCCTCCTCTTCTTTGTTTTCCTCCTCTTCCTCCTTTTTCTACTTCTCCTCCCCGTTTCTTCCTTCCCTCTTCCTCCACCTCCTTCCCTCTTCCTCCTCCTCTTCTATCAAGTGAAGTAGTGAGAGTGGATTTGCCTTAATCTTCTGATTGATTCTTTAATCTGGTCTGAGGCACAAGGAGTATGTAGATTTATAAAACCAGGAGTTTCAAGCTTCTCTGCATGCAAAGCCCACGTTTATTATTTCCTCTTTTCCCCATGGATCCTGTGTATGAAAGGTTTTGTCTACCCAACAAATTGAACTAAATTAACAATAAAGTTATTTCAGCAATAAAAATAAAATATACCTTTAATGCTAGATGAAATTTTATAGATTTTGAACCTTTGATCTGTTGGGCTTTGAGTCAAGCTTAAAGATAAGGGGAAGGGGTGGCACTTGGGTGGCTCAATCAGTTGAGCATCTGACTCTTGATTTCTGTTCAGGCCATGATGTCAGGGTTGTAGGACAGAGCCTCGCATCAGGCTCCACACTGAACTTAGAGCCTGCTTAAAATTATCTCTTCCTCTTTCTCAGCTCTTCCCCTGTTCACTCTCTCTCTTTCTGCCTCTCTCAAAAAAGAAAAAAAAATTGGGGAAATGGCTGAAGTAAATCCATAGCATTCAATTCTTTGAGGTTGAAAAATTGTGTCTATAGGTTTTCCATAATCATATGTTTTATCCCTCCTAACATGAATGATACATTATTTACTTATTTCTGTTTTTATACTTTAAGTAAATGCCTCTTTGGACTCAGATCAAGATTGGCAAGCAAACTTTGTACCTCACCAACACAAGTCTCTCTAAATGTAGCTAGGACAATCTCAGAAAAGTAAGTCTTAATCAATTATGGTTTTAGGCCCATGTTCGACAAATATAAATAAGTTTAAAACCTAAACTTTCTGAAAAAATTATTAATTCCACAGGACCATTTCATAAATATGCCCAAAGCTGTTAACATACTAAGGAACAGTCCTAAAATCTAGGTTATCTACCCTTCAGCATAAATGTTTCAGGAGAATATCTAACTTGACTGACTCCAACCCAAGTAGAAACTAAATTAAATACCTTCCATTTCCAAAGGATATTACATAAAGTAAAAATTTGAATTTTTCAACTGTAACTGTATTTGAATTAAAGAAAACGAATCTTTTAGAGTATACTACTTATCAATTTTTCTTAAATGGTTAGAGGTGTTATTACCAATAAATGTTACTTTCTCAATTGGAAGTCAAAAGTTTATAGTTGAAGAGGAGGTTGGACTTTGAGCCTTTGATTCTTTGAAATTACATATGAAAAAGACTATAGAAGGTGAGCAGAAAAGGAATTCATATTTTACTGTTAAAATGATGATTTTTACCAATTTTCATGTGTATTTTTATGGCATGTTCACTTCTTCCAAATAGTAATATCCCATTTAATATCAGGTCATTGAGAATGTTGGCTTCCTCCATGTTATGTCATTAAGGTTGTTAGAGGCATTTGCTATTATTAAAATGCCTAGAACTATACCAGATAAATTCCCTTCCTAGGGATATAACTTAGTGAATATGCAAGTACCATATTTCATAGACTGTAAAGCATACATATTTTCTTCATATTTTAAGAACTCTTAAAATTGATTACATATTACACTTAAACTTGGCATTGGTTTTTCTTTTTTAAATAACATTATGTCTTATAATAAATAGATGTTATCTTAGATTCTGTGAAACACTGATTCATGAAGGGGGGAGGCAGTAAAGCTCTTTTATTTAGATTAGTTATTAGAGCATATAAATTTTAATAATCACTTGTGGCAACCTTTGGCATAATGGGAATCTAATCAGACTAGAAATTAAATACTTAACTGATTTCTCAACTTTTTATATATAGAGTTTCTTCTTGGATACTTTCTTTCACAATTAGAAAATCAAGAAAGTCAGAAGCAGAACAAATGTAAATCAACTTTGCATTTTTCATTACCAGAGAGGGGTTTTGCTTTAAAAGCATATATTGAGGAAGTGAAGATTCTATTCCCTCCCATAGTGTTAAGAATATAATAAGGTGTCCAGCCTGTTTGCTAAATCACGGTACACAAGATCACTGACTTAACTGTACTCATGTTCTGGATTCACATGTCAGTGGGGAAAAAGAGCCACCGTAACTTTGGAGGAAAAATACCTCACGTCTTTTTATATCTTGACACACAAAGCAGAAGTTTATTTTTTTTTTTAAATCTTGGTAAAGGAGATGCATTTAAAAAATCTTAAGACCCCAGAAAACAAACTTGGGATTACTTTTCCACCAGCATAAGTACCTATCTGTAAACAAAGCATACCATGCAAGAATCTTCTATCTTAATGCATTATTTTTGACATGAAGTTTCAGCCTTAAAGGCTGAAAGAGAAAATTAACCCACTTCTATTTCAGCTACTCAATGAAAAGGCAGGTTAGTTTATGTTATGATCAAGGGTTGATCTTAGTGTTGGACTCTATGAGTGTTGCATTTAGCAATGGTAAGAATTGATTGATAAACCTAGAAAAAACCCAAGGCTAGTGTTCCTAGTTTTATTCCAATGTGTTGTAATGATGTGCCAAAGACACTCATATAATTGAGTGCTTGTATGCTCTATGTTAAAGAACTCTGAAAAGATTTTTATAATCATTACACAATGACAAATGCTAGGTAGAAGTAAAATAATTATCAATAAAAATTATTTTAAATGTTCTTCCACAAAGACGATATTACATTTTAACTATTTACTTTATTGTTGATATATTCTGTTTGCATTGTGTGTGTGTGCGCATGTATGCGCGTGGATATGAACCCATATGAAGCTTCAAGCAGAACTGTGACCTAGGAAATTATTTTTTCACTATTTATTTTAACATTTAGGAGGGAAGTCCCTTCAAAAAATATTGAAAAACTAGCCTCTTTAAGGAATACTGAAAATAGAGCATCTTCAAACAGTATTGAAAATAAAGATACAGAAATAAATCTACAGTCTAAACTATGGTCATCTTCCTTCTTAAAGGAAGGCACAGGTAAGAACATTTGTTTTATGTGAGTAAATGCAGCTTCTCTTTGAGCCCTCTTCCATAACTTGGGATTCTGACAACTCTGTATGTCTGGAGCAAGTCAGAGGAACGTGTACTATAATTTTTGAAATTTGTATATCAGATGATTCTGATAAACAGATATGGCAACCATGCTATACATTATATAAAATGATAATGATGAGGTATTAAATTTTAGAATGAATTAAAATACCAATGAAAGCATTAACTCCCATTCATTAAACAATGATTTATTGATTTCCAGGACTGTTTTAGAAGCTGTGGATACAGGGGTGCCTGGGTGGCTCAGTCGGTTAAATGTCCGACTTCAGCTCAGGTCATGATCTTGAGCCCCGTGTTGGGCTCTGTGCTGACAGCTCAGAGCCTGGAGCCTGTCTTCGGTTTCTGTGTGTGTCTCTCTCTCTGACCCTCCCCTGCTCACACTGTCTCTATCTCTCTCTCAGAAATAAATTTTTAAAAATTAAAAAAAAAATGTTTAAAACGAAGCTGTAGATACAATAGTTGGCAAATAGGCAAGGTCCTTGCCTTTATAGAACTTACGTTCTAGTGGGAGATAGTCAACTATTAAAAATAAATAATAAACAACAGAAAAATAAGGAAGGCAGTGACAGGTTGTGGTGGGTGCTATAATGTAAATAAATGGCTCAGTGTTTGTGAATTAAATGAGACAGTTCCTGTGACGTCTCACAGTTCACATGAAGTCCTTAATTCCTGATTATGACCTTCCCCTGATGACATCAGTATAATGAGTCTGTGAATAGGCTGGGTACCCACTGGAAGATCAAGGTGGCTGTGAGCTGATGGAGACAATTAATGAAAAAGAAGCAGGTAGATGACCTAAAGAGCCCAGCCATCCTGCTCCTGGAAGGACTGGTATTCCGTTTCAGGATAGCATTTTTTTGTTTAAGCAAGTGTTTGCTTTGGAATATGGAATTTTATCAGCTTTTTGGAGTTTCTGGCCTGCATTGTCTTAACATCGTCATCTCTCGAGCTCTCTGGATTTCTTCATTTTATTTCTGACACAAGTGTTTCTACATGATTTGGAGTAGCTAATAGCCAAACTCCCATCAAGAAAAGCATCTCACAGGACTTCCAGACACTCAAAATCTTACAAGAGGCGAGGTTTCACACAAGTTCGGGTTGAAACTGAAAGACATTGGTAGAGCCAGAGCAGTTGACAAGCTCACTCAGTAGTATTTCCCAGAGAGATAATTTTAGGAAACACATAGTAACTTAAAAAAAAAATTAGTTTAATGATAATACATTTTAATGTATGTTAGAAAAAAATAAGACATGGTTATGAATATGGACTCTGGAGCCAAACTGACTCCCAGATCCACCAGTTAATTAGTGGCATGAAGTTGAGTGGGTTATTTAACCTCTCTGTCTCTCAGTTTCATCTATGAACAGAGTGGATATAGTACACACCTCATTGAGATGTTGAGAGAATTAAATAAGTTAACATAGTAATGTTCAGAAGAGTAATGACATATAATGTTTGTTGGGATTATTTTATTTTTATTCATCCATCAGTTTCATGGATGATAATATTTGTGGTCTGCTAAAACTTATGTTAAAAAATAGATTCAATAAAAATACTGAGTAATTAGTATAGGTGATACTCATATGGCAAAATGGATGCAGATAGTGTAAGAATTGTACTATTGGAAAATGTTCCAGTAGATTGTGTCATGGAGACTTTACTTCAGTATTTCTCTAATCTACCTCCTCTTCTCCATCCCTGTTTTACCAATGCCCTGTCATTAATCATATCTCTTACCTAGACTTTTTAAAGAGACCTATAACCTCTCTCCTTGCTCTTTTTATTTTTTTGGTCTCCCCTCAAATATACTTTCCACCGTCCTTACCAAGTGTTCCTCTAGAAATGCAGATTTGACCATATTTGGTTTCCTACTTAAAATCCATTATTAGTAGGGTTTACTTTTAGGATATAGTCCAAACTCCAAGGCTCCTGGCCCACAAGGCTCCATTAATCTAACTACCCCTCCAGCCACATCTGTCACCATTTTAGTCTCAACCTTGGCCCCTAAGCAGTGTCAAAGTGTCTTGTAGCACATTCTTGTTTCTTTGTTGGCTCATGCTGTCTCCTTCCTTAGAAAAACTAATCCACTCATTCAGACTGGGCAATTTCTGACCACCACATGATCGGCATGGGGCCCTCCTTTGTTCTGTCGTTTACCCAGCACACATCTTTATCTCCGTACTTCCATACTGCTTTATTACTATCTACTATGTTTCTGACTTCCCAGTTAGAGTGTGAATGAGTGCCCTGAGATCAAAAACTCATTTTTGGGTTCGTGGGACTCTACATTAGTGCTGGGCACTGAATGGGTAGTCATTAGTGCTTATTTTTATTTTTCAGTCATCTGCATTTCATAACTATTGTGTTTTGACACTAGAAAAATCATTACTAATGTTATGTAACTTCTGGTTATAGATAGAATACTTCACGTCTCTTTTCTAATTTGTGGTGTGTGTTGAGAAAGAACTTTATTCTCAAGTATCCAAGCAGTGACATGACCTGCCTAAGAATTAGTATTTTCTTCTCAGCCTCTCCAGGCTCCTTATTTCATATTTACCTTCCTATAAGAACAATTTAGGAAATGTATTTCTGGAGGTAGAATAGTATTAATTTCTTTTTTTCTTGAAATAATATTTTACATAAAACCATTTTCTATTTATTAAAATTTTAAACACCAAACAACACTAACATAAGTTCAGTGTTACTGGTTTGGGTTTTTTCCTCTTGGCAGTTTTATTCCTTCTTTTGGAAATGGAAATCAGGTAAGTTCATTGCAGTGCTGTTTAGTCATGAAAAAAAAAAAAAAAACCTCCAGAACAGGGAGCTATATAGTAAATATGTACACCTATTACATTTTAATTTGGGAGGAACCATTTTTTTTTAAATGTTTTATTTATTTCTAGGAGAGAGAGAGAGAGACAGCGTGAGCAGGGGAGGGTCAGAGAGAGAGGGAGTCACAGACTCTGAAACAGGCTCCAGGCTCTGAGCTGGCAGTCAGCACAGAGCCCGACGCGGGGCTCGAACCCACGAACCGCGAGATCATGACCTAAGCGAAAGTCGGACGCCTAACCGACTAAGCCACCCAGGCGCCCCAGGGAGGAACCATTTTTAATTTTTAAACTTTTCAATATTTATTGATTAAATTATGCATTTTCTGGGGTGCCTGGGTGGAGCGTCTGACTCTTGATTTTGGCTCAAGTCATGATCCCAGGGTCACAGGATCTAGCCCTGCATTGGGCTCTGTGGTGAGCATGGAACCTACTTAAGATTCTCTCCCTCTCCCTCGTTCACTCTCTTCCCCCTCCCCCTCCCCCTCTCCCATTCTCCCTCTCTCTTTCTCTCCCTTTGCCCCTTTCCCTGGCTTGCATGCTTGCATTCTCACTCTCTCTCTCTAAAGTAAAAATAAAATTTTTTAAAAATATGCATATTCTATTTTAGGTCAAGTGGGCAAAGATTCAGTCTTTTCAGAGCAGGAGAAAAATAACGAATATTACCTTCAGGATACTGATGATAAGTTATCTGAATCGACAGATGATGATGGTGAAGATGATACCACTGATGATGATAATGATGAAGACCGTAACCGTAATAAGGATACTCATGCCCCATTAGAGTTAATGGCAGAAGTAAGTTTAACTTGTGCATTATAATGTAAAAAGTTAAGAATATTAAAATAACTGTATGTAGTCTTGAAGATTTAAAAAATAGTAAAAAAAAATCCTTGCCCATACACAGATGCTTACGTAGAAGTAAGCATCTCTCACTTGGAAGTAAGAGGTGAGAGAACATTCTGGAAGTGACTTACTCTGGTAAAGGCAGAAACAGGAATAAAAGTTTTGGCACAAAATTCTGCAAGGACTGCTTTAATGGATGCTTTCTACACAGCTGGGCACCATGATAGTTCAAGTTCATGATCTTATAGTTACACTCCACTGTCAATCCCATTCTCTCTCCCTTCCTCTGTCCCTCCGTCTCTCCATATATGTGTATGTGTATAAAATTTCAGATATTTTATCATCTCTAGAAGTTTTATTTAAATATTTTTATATCTATTATTTCTCTCAACATATTCATATTTTACTTTTAAGCATATGACATTTGTAATAGATATTTTAACATGCTTGTCTGCTGTGCTATCGTTTTGTCAATTCTAGGTTGGTTTCTTTTGCATAAGTTTTCTCCAGTATATGGCTCATCTATTTCTGCATCATTGCATGCCTGCAATTTTTTTTTTTATTAAATCATAGACGTTATAAATTTTATGTTCTTTGGTACAAACTTTTGTTTTTTTCCTTTAAATGTTTTTGGACTTTGATCTGGGACATAGCTGAGGTTCTTGGAAGCAGGTTTCTCTTTTTGAGTCTTGCCTTTTAAGCTTTGTTGGGAGGGCCCAGGGTAGCCTGTATATTGTAGGGGCACTACTAAGGCAATGTCCTTATGAGGACTCTTCCCAATACTCTGTATTAAGAGGAGCTTCTGCTCTGGCTGGAGAAAACATGAGCTCTCTTCAGTTCTGGGTGCTTCTTGAGGCAGCTTGCATTCCTATCACCTTCTCTCTTAGATCCACTGTTGCTATATCCCGAGGTTTAGATTGTTGTGTTTTCATTCTTGTTTGTTTCCATTTGTTTTTTTAATTCTTTGATTTCTAAGTTGACCCATTCATTGTTTACTGGCATGTTGTTTAACCTTTATGTATTTATGGATTTTCCTGATTTTTTCTTATGGTTGATTTCTAGTTTCAGAGTTGTAGTCAGAAAAGATGCATGGTATTACTGATCTTTTTGAATTTGTTGAGGCTTGTTTTGTAAAATAATATGTGCTCTATTCTGGAGTATGCTTTATGTGCACTAGAAAAGAGTGTGTATTCCGCCATTTTAATATGGAATGTTATGAATATATATTAAATCCATCTGGCCCAGTGTGTCTTTCAAAGCCACTGTTTCCTTATTGATTTTCTGTTTGGATGATCTGTCCCTCCATGTAAGTGAGGTGTTAAAAAGTCATTTACTATTATTGTATTACTACTATTGATTAGTTCCTTTAAGTTTGTTTTTAACTGTTTCATGTTTTTGGATGCCTTCATGTTGGGTGCATAAATATTTACAAAAACACACAAACACTAATTCAAAGGGATACATGCACCCCTATGTTTATAGCTGCATTATTTACAGTAGCCAAATTATGGATGCAGTCCAAGTGCTCATTGATAGATAATTGCACTACTGGGTATTTGTCCAAAAAATACCAAATAAATATTTTAAATTATTATATCTTCTTACTGGGTTGCCCCCCTTATGATATATAGTGCCCTTCTTTGTCTCTTGTAATAGTCCTTGGTTGTTTTGTTTTTTTTTTTTACAGATAGTTTATTGTCAAGTTGGTTTCCATGCTCATCCCCACAAGTGCCCTCCTCCATGCCCATCTTCCCTCTTCCCCCCCACACCCATCAGTCCTCAGTCTGTTCTCAGCATTCAAGAGTCTCTCATGGTTTGCCTCTCTCCCTCTCCCCTACTATTTCCCCCCTTCTCCTCCCCCATGGTCCTCTGTTAAGTTTCTCCTAATCCTCCTATACGTGCATACATATGGTATTTGTCCTTCTCTGCCTGACTTATTTCACTCAGCATAACATCCTCAAGGTCCATCCATGTTGCTACACATGGCCAGATTTCATTCTTTCTCATTGCCATGTAGTATTCCATGGTATAGATAAACCACATCTTCTTGGTCCATTTGTCCGTTGATGGACACTTAGGCTCTTTCCATGTTTTGGCTATTGTTGAGAGTGCTGCTATGAACACTGGGGTACATGTGCTCCTATGCATCAGCTCTCCTATATCCCTTGGGTAAATTCCTAGCAGTGCTATTGCTGGGTCATAGGGGAGTTCTATTGTTAAGTTTTTGAGGAACCTCCACACTGTTTTCCAGAGGGGCTGCACCCGTTTACATTCCCACCAAGAGTGTGGAGGGTGCCCGTTTCTCCACATCCTCACCAGCATCTAGAGTTCTCTGATTTGCTCATTTTAGCCACTCTGACTGGCATGAGGTGGTATCTCAGTGTGGTTTTGATTTGTATTTCCCTGATGAGGAGGGATGCTGAGCATCGTTTCATGTGTCTGTTGGCCATCTGGATGTCCTCTTTGGGAAAGTGTCTGTTCATATCTTCTACCTGTAATAGTCCTTGTTTTAAAGTCTAGTTTGTTTGCTATAAGTATTGTTACCCCAGCTTTCTTCGGACATCCATATGCATGAGAAATGTTTCACCATCTCTCCACTTTCAGTCTGCAAGTGTCTTTAGGTTTGAAATGAGTCTCTTGTAGGCAGCATGTAGATGGGTTTGTTTTTTTTATCCACTCTGTCACCCTGTGTCTTTTGATTAAAGTGTTTAGTCCATTTACACTCAATGTAATTATTATTTTTTTAATGTTTTATTTATTTCTGAGAGAGAGAGCGTGAGCAGGGGAAGGTCAGAGAGAGAGGGACACACAGAATCTGAAGCAGGCTCCAGGCTCTGAGCTGTCAGCACAGAGCCCGATGTGGGGCTCGAACCCACGAACCATGAGATCATGACCTGAGCCGAAGTCGGACGCTTAACTGACTGAGCCACCCAGGCGCCCCACACTCAGTGTAATTATTAATAGATTTGTATGTATTGCCATTTTTGCTCTTGTTTTATGGTTGTTTTTGTAGTTTTCCTCTAAGCCTTCTCCATGCTCTAATGATTTGTTGGCTTTCTTTAGTGATATACTTGGGTTCCTTTTTCTTTATTCTTTGCATATCCATTAGTGGTTTTTGATTTGTAGTTACCATTAGGTTTGTATATAACATCTTCTGCATATAGCAGTCTATATTATGTTGATAGTCACTTAAAGTTGAACCCATTCTTCTCTCTTCACCATGTTTTAGGTATATGGTGTCATATTTTACATCCTTTTATTTTCTGAATTCCTTGACTGATTTTTTAATAGAAATATTTAGTCTTATTACTTTTGTGTTTCCTACCTTTCATACTCTGACTTCTGCTCTTTCTTTTCCACTCAGAGAATCCCCTTTAACATTTCTTATAGGGCTAGTTTAGTGGTCATGAACCCCTTTAGTTTTTGTTTGTCTGAGAAACCCTTTATCTCATTATATTCTGAATGATAGCCTTGCTGGATAGAGTATTCTTGGCTGCAGGTTTTTCACATTTAGCACTTTGAATATGTCATGCCACTCCCTTCTGACCTACAAAATTTCTGCTGAAAAATCCACTGGTAACCTTTGGGGTTTCCCTTATATGTAACTGTCTTCTTTTCTTTTACTGCTTAAATTTTTTTTTTCTTTATCACTGTTTTCTGCCATTTTGATTCCTATAGTGTGGACCTCCTTTGGTTGATTTTGTTAGGATCTCTGTGCCTCCTATATCTGGGTATCTATTTCTTTCCCCAGATTAGGGAAATTTTCAGCTGTTATTCCTTCTAATAAATTTTTTGCTCACAATTCTCTTTTCTTCTTCTGGGATCCCAATAATGTGATTGTTATTATTCTTGATGGAGTCACTGATTTCCCCAAGTCCAGTCTTGTTTTACATAATTCTTTTTTCTCTCATTTGTTCAGCCTGATTACTTTCCATGACTCTGTCGTCTGGCTCATTCATTTGTTCCTCTGCTTCTTCCAGCCTGCCATTTATTCATCAAGTGTATTTTGATTTTGTTTATTGTGTTCTTTATCTCTGATTGGTTCTTTTTTTATCTCTGTGTTAAGGGTCTCACTGATGTCCTCCACCTTTTTCTCAAGTCCAGTAAATGTCTTTCTGATCATTACTGTTTATTTTCTATCAGAAATATTACTTATATCCATTTTGCTTAGGTCTCTTACTGTGATTTTGTCTGGTTCTTTCATTTGTAATATATTCCTCTGTCTCTTCATTTTGCCTAACTCTCTGTGTCTGTTTCTGTGAGTTAGGAAAGTCAGCTATGGTCTCTTGTAAGTAGTGAGCAGGCTGTGCATTTTTAATTAGGTGGCACTGGTCTTCTTCCACAGGGCACATGCAGCCACTACGGAGACAGAGCTGGCTGTTCCGCAAAACATGAGCAGGCAGGGGGTGCAGTTTTAACAAAGTGCACATCCTCTGTGAGAGGTCAGGAGAGGCACTGCTGGCAAGGTGTGCAGGGGTCTTCTAGGAGAGAGGATCTGCAGCACCAGGACTGAGGCAGGCCTGGCTGGAGGGGGTGGGGTGTGGTGTAAGCAGGGTAGGTAGCGAATGCCAGTATTGTGCTGGTTCCCACTGGTAGTTGTGTGTTTATGATAAGGGGCAGGGGAGGGAAATGGAGCCTGCCAGCTCCTTTGTTCCTGGAGAAGTTCCTCCGCAAGTTCCTGGTTTGGTCACCAACTCTTCCTCCCATATGCCCAAGGCATCTTTCAGACTGTTTCCAAGCTGTATCTCTGAAGGATGTTTGCTGTGCTTTCTCTTTAAGGGTAGGAGCTCCACTTCCTATCACCCTCTGAGCTCTCCCAGAGACAAGGCTGCTGGTTTTTAAAGTTTCAGGCATTGAGTCCCTCCCTCTGGACGTAAGCACTCACAAAATTCAGCCTCTGTGATTTTCAAAGCCAAATGCTGTGGGGATTCCTCTTCCCCTTGCTGGCTCCCTTTATGTGATAGTCTGTTTCTCCCCCATCTGCATCTGTGGATCCCTTCCTCCAGCGGTCAGATCCATGGGATTTAAGTTGCCACTGAATCCTCATCCTTCCTACCCTCTTTGATGTGGCCTCTTTCCTATATTCGGTTGTGGAATTTGTTTGGCCAGTCTTTGGGTCATTATCTGGGTTGTTTGCAGTGATGCAAGTGTTCCCTATGTGTATTTGAGGGGCAAAGTGAGTTTACGGTCCTCCTACTCTGCCATCTTCCCTGGAAGTCCCATCTCTTTATTTTGAATGTCATAAATAATTTAATGTAAAACCAATTTTTTTAAACCTGTCTTCTTACTTTAGCTTGACCTTGCAGTTTTAAGCAATTCTCATGAGAAGTCTTTAGCCAAATATCCACTAGGTGAATTTCTTTTTTTTTTTTTTTTTTAATATTTTTTATTTATTTCTAGGAGAGAGAGAGAGAGAGAGACAGCGTGAGCAGGGGAGGGTCAGAGAGAGAGGGAGTCACAGACTCCGAAACAGGCTCCAGGTTCTGAACTGGCTGTCATCATAGAGCCTGACTCGGGGCTCGAACCCACGAACCGCGAGGTCATGACCCAAGCGAAAGTCAGACGCTTAACCGACTAAGCCACCCAGGCGCCCCCATTAGGTGAATTTCTTAATTTCGCTGCATTTTGAACTGTTAAAAGAAATATATATTTGTTGTTGTTTTTGTTAACAACAAAAATTCGTAGGTGTAAAGTACATTTTGATTTTGATTCCATGATCCTTTTCATTTTCTGAGGCTAGTATTATTAATATAATCCTTCATGAAGTAGACTAGATATTAATTGATATTGAGAAATTTTTGTTAATTTTGTTAGGTGTAATAGCCGTAGTGTCCTTGGGTTTTTACTTTAAAGTGAAATGAGATGATATCTGTAAAAAGTTTTAAAATAATCCAGGCAGAGTGGGGAAAAGAATGTAGTAATATTGATAAAATCAGATTGGCAAAATATTAATTTCTAAAGATGAAAATTGAAAATGTATACTTCTTTTACTGGTTTTCTACTTGTGTATATTTAAATTTTCCATAAAGATTTTAAAAATGTAAATAATAGCTGTATATGATACCTGTCACACTCTCTGACTGTGATCCATTAAACTAAGCATTGAAAATAAAAATAACTACGATAACAAAACTATTTAAAAGTAGAAGGTATTCTTCTGGATGACACTTGAATTACAAATAAAAATGAAAACTAAACTTGCAAACTACTTAGAAAATAGTGATAACCACAACACTAAATATTAAAGCTTTTGGAAAGAGCTTAAGGTTTTGAATATTTCAGTGATGACAATGATGATTAAAAGGGGAATGACAAAAAATGAAATAGTAATGCCTAGGAAAAGAACAAAACAAACATAAGAAAAATGAAAATAATTAAATAAAATTCAAAGTAAAAACCAAATTAATACATCCATTTAAGAGCAGGATATTTGAAAAAAGAATAACCTAGATAAACCACAAGATACGATAATTAAAATGGAAGGAAACCACAAATAGGAATAAAAATGAACAGGTCTTAATAGACAAAATTAGATTTTAAAAATATAACAGGGGCACCTTGGTAGCTCAGTTGGTTAAGCCTCTGACTTCTGCTCAGGTCATTATCTCATGGTTCATGGATTCAAGCCCCATGTTGGGCTCCGTGCTGACAGCTCAGAGCCTGGAGCCTGTTTCAGATTCTGTATCTCCCTTTCTCTCTGCCCCTCCCCTGCTTGCACTATGTCTCTCTCTCTCAAAAATAAACATATGTTTAAAAAAATCTTAAATAATAACAGGATTCTCTTTGATGAGTTTAACAGCATTTGTTAATATGTGAAAAAGTGGGGATTGTGGTGAAAGTAATGACATAGAAAAATCTGCAGAAGTGTTCTCTTTCTGTTAGAAAAATGTAAATATATCTTGAATGCTGAGAACAAACTGAGGACTGATGGGTGTTGAGGGGAGGGAGGCAGATGGTCATGGAGGAGGGCATTTGTGGGGATGAGCACCGGGTGTTATATGGAAACCAACTTGACAAATAAACTATTTGTGAAAAAAAAATGTAAATATAATCATACCTGTGGAAGAAACTAAGAAAATTGGTAGAGAACTTCTTAAAATGGTGCTTGGGTATATATCAGTTGTCTAGAAACATGTGGGAAGTGTCTCTTCTAATACTCCATGCCCTTGTCTCTTGCAGAGGAAGCCTAGTGTACCTAGTGTTCAGAATATATTACACACAAACAAGAATAGTCATCCAAATTTAGGGTTATTTTTAATGGAAGAAGTCTAAAGAAGTTAGAATAGGACATTAGTTTAATAAACTGTAGCCTAAATAAAAAATATATAAGACTATTTAATTTTATGGGGAGAAAATTATCATCATATGTGGTTTATTTTTTAAAAGTTGCTGAGGGCTGCCTGGATGGCTCAGTCAGTTAAGTGACTGACCTTGGCTCAAATAATGATGATCTGGTTTGTGGGATCGACCCCACATCAGGCTCTACACTGACTAGAACCTGCTTGGGATTCTCTTTCTCTCCCTCTCTCTCTCTGTCCCTCCCCCACTTGTGCTTTCTCTCTCAAGATAAACTTTAAAAAAATTTTTTTAATAGTAAAAAAAAAAAAGTTACTGAATAGGGGCATCTGCATGGCTCAGTTGGTTGGGCATCTGACTCTTGATTTCAGCTCAGGTCATGATCCCAAGTGGATCCAGCCCTGCATGGGGCTCTGTGCTGAGCATGGAGCCTGCTTAAGATTCTCTCTTTCTCCCTCCCCCCCTCCCTCCTCCCTCCTACTTACACACATGCTCTCTCTCTCTAAATTAAGCAAAAAAAGTTACTGAATAATCCTAGTTTTTGTGAATGTGTTTATTTATGTAAAAATACTAAAGTGATACAATAGAGATGCTAACAATAAACATTTCTGTATGGTAGAAATATAAATGCTTTTTAATTGGGGACAGAATGTGTTTATTTAGCTTTTAAATTTCCTACATACAAAATATTTATTATTTTGTAACAATAAAAATATAATAACAGTGAAACAAGGAGCGCCTGAGTGGCTTAGTTGGTTAAGCATCCAACTTCAGCTCACGATTCATGAGTTTGAGCCCCACGTTGGGCTCTGGGCTGACAGCTCAGAGCCTGGAGCCTGCTTTGGATTCTGTGTCTCCCTCTCTCTCTGCCCCTCCCCTGTTCATGCTAGGTCTCTCTCTGTCTCTCAAAAATGAGTAAATGTTTAAAAAAATTTTCTTTTGGGGCGCCTGGGTGGCTTAGTCGGTTAAGCGTCCGACTTTCGCTTAGGTCATGATCTCGCGGTTCGTGGGTTCGAGCCCCGCGTCAGGCTCTGTGCTGACAGCTCAGAGTCTGAAGCCTGCTTGGGATTCTGTGTCTCCCTCTCTCTCTGCCCTTCCCTCACTCATGCACTCTCTCTCTCTCTCTCTCTCTGGAATAAATAAACATTTAAAAAAATAAAATAAAATAAAAAAATAAAAAAATAAAAAAATTTTCTTTTAATAGTAAAATGAGGGGCCCCTGGGTGGCTCAGTCAGTTAAGCATCCAACTTTGGCTCAGGTCATGATCTTATAGTTTGTGGGTTCCAGCCCTGCGTCAGACTGTGCTGAGAGCCAGCTCAGAGCCTGGAGCCTGTTTCAGATTGTGTGTGTGTGTCTCTCTCTCTGACCCTCCCCTGCTCATGCTGTCTCTCTCTGTCTCTCAGAAATAAATAAAACATTTAAAAAAAAGGAAGAAATTAAAAAAAATTTTAAATATAAGTAATTGTAAATCTTTTTTTTTTTTTTTTACTAAATATCGTCATGTAATTATGGACTAAGTTAAAAAAAAAAAAAAAAGCTGTATCTGAACCAAAGGGACATTAAAATTATGAATGTCTTTACTATCTCTGCCAGTTGAACCAATCTGTGTATTCTGAAATTATTAAGTAGTGTGTGTGTGTGTGTGTGTGTGTGTATGTATGTGTATATATATATATATATATATATATATATATATATATATATATATATAATATGGCTACGGTAATATAGATATATTGTACTTGTTCTCTTTTGCCTTGCCATGGGAAGTCCTTAAATATTCTTAATTGAACACAGACTTACTCCTGAAAAAATGTATAATTATTAAAAGCAAAATGGTTAATTATTAATGGAGTATTTTTTAGGGAGTTTATTTATGACATTTAAATTCTCTCTGAAAGCACTTATCTGAAGAATTCCTTAATGTTTTCCAGTTCCTGAGAGCAGAAATGGGCCGAGACTACCATTTGGCAAAAAAATTATGTCAGATGAGTAAGTACAGAATACTTTTCTGTTTTCTTTTTTTTTCCAAAATACTTTCTGCTTTCTAATCTTTTCTTTGTTTCTAAATGCATTTCATAATATGTAAGATGGTGTGATTATTATAGCCTAGTAAATTCCCTGATAGTGCCTCAGTGATTCCTTAATAGCAAGTTACATTGATTGGTATAAGGACTAATTTAGACATTTAGAATAACTTTGAGTGGGATAAACTAAAAATGACTAATCATCACTGGAAAATAAGTAAATATCTTGACCTTCCTGATAATGAGTGAGTTAACTGTATGCCTTTAGTTTCAAAGAAGTGTCAGGTAGTGTAGCAAACCTTACTTAGTATGCATTTCTTCCACAAGTACTTGAGTGCCTCCATGTGCCAGGCATGGTTTTAGGCACTGGAAATACAGCAGTCAATAAGACAGATAACAGTCCCACATTTATATCTAGTATTAAGCAGATAACAAATTCATATATTTGTGTGTCACAAATGATAGGTGCTATGGAGAAAAATATAGTAGAGAAGAAGGAATAGAAAGTACTAGAAAGAGGCAAAGCAGTTTTGAATAAGATGGTCCAGGAAGGCAGGTCTCATAGCAGATGTGCTGGGATGCAAGTGTGTCTGATGAGGAACAGCAAGGAGGCCAGTGTAATCAGGGAAGGATAGGTAAGGGGAAGTGTGACAGGAGATGAGGGCAGAGAGGCTATGGTTTGGGGATTATGTAGATTGCATAGCACCCTTGCACAATTTAAGGGTGCTCTTTCTCTGAGCAGACTGGGAAACCATTGGGCACTTCTGAGGAGAGGAATAATATGATCTACCTTATTTTTCTTTCTTCCCTTAGTTTTTAGTGGTTTGACTGATGTATCTTACACTCAGGCTGCTGTTTTTCCATTTCTTTTTATTTCTGTGCTTCATTTTGGAATTTTTCTATTGACCAACCTCTTCTTGAGTTAATCTATCCTATCTTCTGCCGTGTTCAGTCTGCTGTTAAAACTACCCAGTGAGTTCTTAATTTCAAAGATTTTCTTTTCCAATTTTAGAAAGTCCCCTTAATGATTTTGAAAGATTCCAGCTCTCTTTTGAAATCCAGTCTTTCAACTATTTTGCCTATTTTTTTTCTGTAATACGTTAGTCATAATTATTTTGAAAGAGAAAATGGTAACTCTACAGTGAAACTCTCCTGATACTAGGACTCAAAATATTAATTAGTATTCAACCCAAGTCTTATGGTAGAAGTCCTTAAAGTGAAAATGTAGGGATTGTGAGGATTTACTTTCACTTGCTCACATGACTTTCCACCATGGATTCTTCCATCATCGGCTAATTTTTATAAGATTTTATTTTTAAGCAATCTCTACACCTAACATGGGGCTCAAACTCACAACCCTGAGATCAAGAGTCATGTGCTCTTCCAACTGAGCCAGCCAGGCACCCCTCAAAGGCTAATTTTTAAAATGGGTCTCTTGAATGCTTTCACACTACTTATTTTATATCCAGAATAATTTGCCTTGTCTAATCCTTTCAGGCACTCTTGACTTTTAGAGTCATTGAATAAAATATTTTGATTAAAACTATTTTTTGGGTGGTATACAAACATAGAATTTCTGATAAGAACGACTCCTTCAAGAAAATCGTGTCCCTTCCCATTTTTATAAATACCAAAGCAGAAGCAGAGAGAGGTGAAGCAGCTTGGTCAGCACCATTCAGGGAGCTAATGGCATGGCCACACTGGAGCCCAAGCTGCCACCTCCTTCAGCACCCCTGTTCTGTGGGGGCTGGTATACAGGGGAGTGAGTCTGTAGCTCTCAGTCTCAGCTCCTGGAATTTCTTTGCAGCCTAACAGTAGGAAAATTCATATGTTATATTTCCATATCCATCAGTCATTTTAGAAAGCCTCTGGCTGAAGCTTACAAAATATATGCACTGATATCACCACATCTGTTAGTCAGTTTTGGCTGTTAGGCCTGCAGTATGCTACATAGACAGCAGGTGCTCAATAAAATGCTTATTGACCTGAGTCAAACCAGTAAACACACATTAAGTACCAGGTCAATGAGGATGAAAAAATTCGAACCCATCTATCCTAATGGGGTTATGTCCCTGTAAAACTTCTCTCCCCCTCCCTCCCTCCCTCCATTTCTTACATATGAAGCACAAACTCTACTAGACAGAATGCTGGGAGCTAGAGAGAAGGCAGGAATCACAGCACACATGCTCTAAACCTTTTGTGGGGTGGTTGGCATTAACCATGGTTTGGTTTGTTATTCCACTGGCTCAGCCAGTAATACTGTTCACTCTTTTCTGTCAGTGTCAAATAGTCTCAGACTAAGGATTAGAATACAGGAAAAGGAGCTGTGGAGGGCCCTAAGACAGGCAGCATTCCAGTGGGAAGGAACGCTATTCCCAAGAGCAAGAGGGGGATGACTGGACCTGGGCCCGGAGGTGCAGAGATGGGAGTGGGGGCTGGATGCATGTGCATGCAAAATAGGATTGGCTACCCCTGAAGCAGATTCCAGCCAATGATGTGAAATTAGGGTCGCCCGGGATTAGCAATCCTAAGCAAGTTCAGGAAAGAACAGAGAGTTGGATTATTTACCTATTTATGTATAGATGTATCCATATTGAGCACCTACTAATGGAACATTTTTTTTTAATTTTTAATGTTTTCTTTATTTTTGAGAGAGAGAGAGAGACAGCATGAGCAGGGGAGGGTCAGAGAGAGAGGGACACACAGAATCCGAAGCAGGCTTCAGACTCTGAGCTGTCAGCACAGAGCCCGATGCGGGGGCTCGAACCCACGAACTGTGAGATCATGACCTGAGCCGAAGTCGGATGCTTAACTGACTGAGCCACCGAGGCGCCCCATACTAATGGAAGGAACATTCTTGAATACCTTGTTTAATTCTTAAAGCAATTCTATGGGGCAGATATTATGGACCCCATTTTACAGATGAGGAAACAGTCTTTGCAAGGAAAACTAATTCACCTAGGATGAGATCCTAGGTCTGGCTTGAAAGCTTCTGCTATCCCACTATATTTCCATTTCCTCATTTGATTAGTAAACTACTATCTCTGTTAAAGGAGGCAGGGACTTGGAAAAGAGGTACTTTTGTGGGTCAGTCATGCTTAATGGCTCTCATGGTCAACTAATATATTTATTTTCTTTGTATCTGAGGCAATTAATTTATATAAAGTAATGCAGCTCTGTCTCTTCTGAAATGTTTTATAAATTCATTTTCTGAATAAAGCCTCTGGTTGGCTGGTATGTTTCCTTGCTGTCCAATCACAGCATAATTATTTATATCTCTGACTGGCTTCAGGGCTTCCCACCTGGCATCCACTGGCTTCTTTTCTCTTCGTCCTGCCTTTTAAAAAAATTGTATTGGGTTCCCCCAAGAAATGTTATTTGTCGGTGAAGACTTGGATTTTATCTATCTTTCACACACAGTTTTTATATGTGCCTGATATTTCCTCAGCCATTCTCCTGCTATGTCATGCAGAACCGATAGCTCAGCTGTAGCCATTTCTGCCAGACATTGAAAGCATCATGGGAAAGCGGTTTTTAAATGGGCCTGAAAGTCAAGAGTCCCAAGTACTTTTCGTAGTTCATCTCATGATTGACTGTGAAATGTTCTGCCAGTCAGTCTTTCTATTTACTGGTCTCTTCACCTGTGAGAAGGGAATGTGCAGTTCACTTTTCTCAGGGCACAACAGTGCTCCTCACAGCAGCCCAAGATTTTACATACAAAGACACATTTAGGCCTGGAAGACCTACTCATCAATTATAATAATTGTAAGTGTTTAAGAATAATGGCCTGAGAAAAAAGAAAGATAGCTACAAGATTTAAAAAAAAAAAAAAAAAGAATAATGGCCTGAGAACCAAAATGCTTCTCATTTTGGTCCAACGCAATTATAGATGTATCTTCAGAAAAGATAGTTACTATGCAGTTCTTTCTTTCTTTCTTTCTCTTTCTTTCTTTCTCTTTCTTTCTTTCTTTCTCTTCTTTTCTTTCTTGAGTAAAATGAATCACTCTTTCCTATTAAAGAAAGGACTACTTTCTACTATTCACTTACTCCATTTTTTAATATTTTGAGGACTCCAGCTCTGTCAGTCTTCTAGGGATGCGACCATTAAAAAGACCAATGTTTTGTCTACCCTAGAATAGCCTCCAGTCTGAGGGACTTAGAGCTCAATGGGCAACAGAATCCCCCAGCTCCCTGCCCTAGCTCTTTAGCTAGAAAGAAACATCCACTGAACATTTAAGAAGAAGCCAAGCCTTCTTCTAGTTCCGAAACCATTCCAGGAAAACGAATGTTAATCGTTATTATCGTTATTTGGCTTTTAGTACACTAATGACTGGACTAAGTACTGTATTTGTATTATCTCACTCATTCATCAAAACAGTCTAGTGTATCCAGTAGTAGTATTACAGATAAGGGAACTGAAGTACAGAGATAGTAAATATTTTCCCCAAGGAGCCCCAGCTAGGCAGTGGCAGAACCAGGATTCACATCTGACAGTCTTTCTTCAGGGCCCATATATTTGGATCTGTTTATGGGCTCAGGTTGGGAACAACTTCTAGGATACTAACTCAATGTGCTAGCAGCTTTTCTTACCTTTTTACAAACTCTACTAGCCTGTCAAAGAGTAAGGAGAATTTTTGATTCATCATCTAGAATGAATATTTATGGATGAAGTTTTAAAGATAATGCCTTTCCCTCAGTCTGAAAATTGACAATTGTAGACATCAACAGTTTTTGTTAAACCATGAGAGTAGCTGATCTCATACTCCAGTCCATGGAATGATCCTAATTCCAATATGAAGTTTTCTAAACTATGTTCAAGATTTCTTAGTAACTGTTCCACCAAAAAGGATTCCATGGGACTAGTTAGTTGGGGAAACCACATTCTCATAATGTTATGAGCATATTAATGGTGTTGTAAAATCCTGTAATTTCTTCTACTATAAACTTTACCTGATTAACCTCATTTGACGTAGTTTCCAAAATATGTATTAATGTCTTAAGAAACTAGCTAGTATCCCAAGGGGCAAGTTGGAGAAACTCTGCTCTTGAAAAGGCTCAGAGAAGATTTAGACTGCTAATGATAAGTATAGTTTAGTCCAACTTAAAATGAATTAAGAATTAAGATACTTTTATAGAAGCCTTAAAAGGTGTCCAGATACCTATAGGATCCTTAAAAGCAGGCACACAGTCATGCTAACCCAGATTGATGGCAAGTTATGTTAGCAGATTAGGAAATAGAGACACTGGTTTGGTGTGTCAGGATGAAAGCCATATGGGATGAGGTCCTCTGAGCACTGGGGCCTAGTTGAAACCAGCCAGCCACAATTATTTGTCCTACTCTAAGCCAGGAGAATAGCACACTTGATGTTTCAGCGCCCCCTGGGGGCCCTCAAGATAGTGTAGAGGAGTCACATCATTAAATGGCTAATGCAGAATTAGGAATACCCCTCAAGGCAGGTAGGAAGAAGGTAGAAAGAGACTGGGGGGTGGGGGGGGCAGGGACAGCCTAAAGAATTCTGAAACAAAAGTTGAAAATGTTTCTGACCTCTAGGATATTGGTAACATACCAACAACCCCCACAAATTTATTGATATGGTCCCAAGATGACACATGCTGTTAAGTAGGTTATGACTAGGGTGTAAACCAAGGTAAAAGTTTTCAGGATGAAGAGAAAAAGAAACATAAGCTTTTTCTATTTGAAAGATGAGTTTCTCAAAATGTCATCTCTACCGTCAAAGAGCGTGCATTAAAAATAATAATAATTCTGTTCTGTGTTCAGATGAGGTCTCTAGGAAAGGATGTCTTATAGACATTGGGGTGTGATATGAAAAGCAAGATTAACAGATCTCTAGGCACAGTCTCCTCATTAGCAAAACCTCCACATTTTGCAGGATATGTACCTTGTTTGTGGAATGATTATATTCAAAAAGCACTCTGGCTACAAGGTCTATGAGTTTCATAGTGGGGGAGATTGCATTTTTTACACAGGAGGTAGAAAATATAATGAGCATTATTTCTCTTACAATGTACCTGTGCTATGTAGAGCATTTTCTCTGTTTGCACTTTGGTATTCCTGTGGTATAATTGGTATTTTTTAGTTTTGTACATTTCTACCTTACTCTGATTGACAGTTCCAGTCTCATTCTGAGGAGTCTATTTGCTGAAACACTTTGAAGATTAATAACACACATTCTGTTGTCCATTTTCAGTTCTAATCTATGAACCAGAAAATCCTGAGGCCAAGGAGTTTTTCTCACTTATTGAAGAAATGTTGCTGATGGGTATATTTAAAAATTGAAATTCCTTCTTTCTCATTGAACTATGAGCAGTCACTATTTTAAAAACCTATTATCCCAGGAGATTAGTGAAGTACACCCTTGGGAAGTGGTTAAGAAAAGGCTAACTGGTTGTCTTGGATAGTTTAATGAAACCAGCTTGTTGTTTGTAGATGGTCAGGGTGACTGGCTTTTTTCTGTGGGGTGGAACTGCCCAAGTGAAGCAGACTTCCTGGGTACCAGGCATCAGGCACTGACTGAGTCTTTACAGGGAACAGACATGCTAATTGCCACACATGTTAAAGAAGCTATCCCACAATTCCAAGGAAAACCAGTACCCTCTAAATTATCCAACATCTCACTCTTATTCTATTTAATTAAGAATTATGTTGACAATAGTAAAAAAAACAACAACAACAACACTTTTTTAGAGACCTATATTTTAAATTTACTATAAATCCATAAACATCTTTACACCAGTAAGAATGTATTCTTCGTACTACCGCTTTGACCCTACATACCGTTAGCAAAGTTCAGCTCAGTCCTCACGTTCCAAAGGTAGGTACTTTTTAGTAGGCAAGAAGCAAGAAGAATTATGATTTTTCAGAGAGTAGAAATATCAACATTTTAAGCAATTTTCTTCCTTTCTATGGCAGAGAAATCTCAAAATCTTGAGGAAGGTGATGAAGATAGTGAAGAAGACAGTAGCGGTGAGAGTGAAGGAGAGAGCAGTGAGAAGCTAAGTGAAGACAGCCCTGATGAATGTGAAGATGGGTGATGAAGGTTGCTGCTCTGGTTTAATCTTCATGTATTTTCATTACTGTATACATGGCAATATAAAGGAGAAAGCTGCATTTTAGTCTTGTTGTTCTTTACTTGGCACAGAGTTCTTTTCATTTATCTGTACTGGTTTGAGCTCCTCCTTAATATTTAGGTCTTCCCTCTATGTGAGTTACTCAGAGAGGAACTTAGTAATTGAAAATACCTACGTAGCACTAACTGTGTGCCAGGTGCTATTGTGCACACATTAGTTTATTTACTCCAACAATCCCATGAGGTTTGGCTTGAAACAACACAAACCTATCATCTTACGGTTCTGGAGGTCAGAAATCCAAAATGAGTCTCACTCAGCCAAAATCAAGATGTCAGCAAGGCTGCACTCTTTCTGGAGGTGCTAGGAGAAAATCTCATTCCTTTTTCCAGCTTCTAGAGCCTCCACACATTCCTTGGCTCATGGTCCCTTCCTTCATCTTCAAAACGAGCAACGTCTGGTTGAGACTTTCTCACATTGCCATCTCCCTAATTCTCTCTTCCCTGTGTTGTGATTTTTTTAACGAAACATTTGTTAAGTACATCCCTGATGTGTTAGATGGTAAGTGATGCTTCCACAAAGACCACAAGGGAAAGTAAAATAGAGAAGTTGATTACTCACATGTCTTGGAGGAGGTACGTGGCATGCATCAGAGGGGCCACATAGGGAGGTCAAGGTGCAGACAGAGAGTGGACAGCAGGACCAGGGGCATGCCTTTATTAGGGCCATGAGTGGAGTGCTTTGGGGGGTCTCGGGCTAAGGCTGGATTTGCCCGTTCACACCAAAAAGATCAGGTTTTGGCAAGCTCCGTAGGGGTCTTATCTGAGGGATGTACAGGGAAAGAGTTGGGAGGCAGGAAAGACTGTTTATCACCAGGGGCATTAGGGAAGTTGTATCAGGAACTTACACTTGTGATTCTGCAGGCTCTTGTCTAGTACATGATTGTCATCTAGGGCATGTACTTGAGGGAGAGGCTAGTGTGCTTAGCCACACAAAATGGATGCCAAAGCAATAATATGAAATTGTTGAGCCAAACTCTCAACACCTTGCCTCCTCCTCCCACTTTTCGTCACACCTATAATTATATTGGACCCGTCTGGATGATCCAGGATAATCTATAACCTTCCCTATTCTGGAGTCAGCTGATAACTTTAATATACTGTGACCTTAATTGCCCTTTGCCATGTAACCTCATATACTTATGGGTTCTGGGGGTTAGGACGTAGACATCTTTGAGGGTGGGGGGGACATTATTGGGTAAGTTTTTTTTTTTTTTTTTTTGAACTCCTGGTTTGGAGCTTGGAAGAAACACTTTGGTTGGAAACAGATACTTTATTTAGAGTCATTAGTTTAGATCAGTCATCCATTAGATAACACGTAACAGAGGTATCTCTTTGATTAGAGATAGTAGTCAAAGATAAGGAATTGGTGGCTACACAGGGAAAGTGTAGTCTGACTAGAAGAGGACTGAAAACAAAATGGTCTTAAATTATAACACTTAAGTGGTAGTCCAAGAAAGAGAAGTGCACAGAGGAGATGGAAGACCAGCCAGGAGGAAAATCAGGAAAGTGAACATAGCAGATACGACTGGTTGCCCACTCAGCATCTGTCCCTCTACATCTTTCCTAAGAGAGCCCTGCTTCTGTTCAGATATTCAATCCCCACACACATAGACCCTCGCCAAACAGTACATGGCATTTCTCTGGTGACTGTTACTCTTCCAAAGGGGTATATATGACCCATATTGGCCCAATCAGATCAAGGACTGTATTTCATGATTGGAAGGAGAGATGTCTCCATTCCTCTGGTTAAGAACCAGGAAGCAAGCTGCCCTACTTTCTGCTGGCAGCTACTTTATGATGACGAGAGGGCCAACTCTTAGCTTGAAGCTGATGCTGTGGATGGTACAGCAAAAAGAACCTAGATTTCTGGAGATATTCAGCCACAAAATCAAGTGCTCTGGAAGCCAGCCCTCAGTTTGCACTTCCTGTTATGTGAGAGCACTTTCTTAATTAGTCAAACTGGTTTGGATTGAGGTTTCTTGTATCTGCTGCCAAAGGCATACTAACTGATAACAGGTACTACCACAGAAACCCAGGAGAGCTTCAAAGTCTGGAAAGATCTGCTTCGCCGAAAGTTAACAAAAGAGGACAAGTAGGTTGAGAACTAGGAAGGGTGTTGGATAGCAACAAATGGTGACATTAAGGAGAGTATTGTCAGTTGTGTGGGGTGGGGGAGAGCCATATTTCAGTGAGCTTGAGTGCACTGGAGATGAGGAAAAGGAAACCAAGGAGTTTGATTATGAAGGAAGATGAAGTATTGTTGGAAGACATAAGGGAAAAGAAATAGAATTTTTTAAATGTTTAAGATGAGCATGTTTAGTAGAAAGGATGATAATTACATGTATTGATCGCCTATTATGCATTACTGTACTAACCATTCCATATGTTAATGTTTTAGTCTTTATAGCACCTGCATGGGGTAGATATCAGTATCCCCATGTACATGTGAAGTAACTGAGGTCTAGAGAAATTGAGAGTAACTTTCTAAAGAGCACATACCTGGGAATTAGCAGATTCAGATCTAGGTCTTTTTTTTTGGTGTATGTGGTGGTTTCATAACTATTTGACCATCTGGTCCACTCTTATCCACACTGTAGGTTTTTGAAAATGGGGATAGGTACATAAGTATCTAATATACATAGAACTTATTTTGCAAATCTCCATCCATTTCTGGACAACTGCCCGCAGATAAGGTGTATTCCTTTGTGGGACATTTCGCTGTTTTTGTGGCCCAGACAGCTTTATGGGGCCTGATGTCAGTGAGCATATCTGGAGTTACCATCTCCAATGGCACGTTTCCAGATCTCTGTGAGTGCCTGAGGAGCATACCTCTTGAAGCCGCTTCCACAGATGACGCACTTGTGGAGGTTGGTGTTGTGTTCTCTGGTCACTAACTCACTGCTGACAGAACGGCCCTTCCCACTGCCCCTTTTTGTGAGAGAGCCACAAAGAGGGAGAAGAGGGAGGTATTGCAAACCCAGGCTATTTCAGTCTAATGCTGTCCTAACCTTCACCCATGTGCCTTCCTCCCTAAGGGGTCAGTAGAGAAACAGGGAAGAGAAGCCTATCTAATACTCAGAAAACGCACATAACACAATCTTAGTTTGTGCTGTAGAGTCTGTTCGTACTGCTCAGAGTTGCTTCTTTGAGTTGCCTCTCCTTTGCTCTCCAGTATCGGTCCTTATCTTATCCTACAGTTCTTTACATATGAAACAAGGTGATAACCTGCATCCCTTTCACTGAAGTATGGGCGTTTTTTCCTTTAATTTTACCCTGGTTGACGTGTATGATATATACAACGTTGGTATTTGCCTAAAATACTGACGTTTGACAAGGGTGAACACTCGAACATAACTCATAGTGCCAGATGTGAAGGAAAGCCTAGATCTACTGGAAATGTTTTGGGGTTCTGGGCAGGTGTCCTGTATCATGAGGTACTGAGAGTTCACAGGACGGAGGTAGTATGAGGCTGCCAAGGCCAGACTAAGGAGGGCAAAGGTCTACGTGGTTGGCTTTCCTAATACACTCCCCAGCTGCCATGCAGTATGAGTTATAATGAGGCACAGGGAGTATGCAGAACTTGGAGAGACTTGTGAAGTGAAGCACTGGGAGATGAGATTGGCTTGCATGGTCTTGTTCAAAATGTACCCTTTGAACCAGGAGGTAGCTTGTAGCAGGCATTGTGGCTGGTTTCTCCTACGTCCATTCCAACCTAGATGATAAGTCTAAGCTAACCACAGTACTCCCATCCTCCTTGCTATTAGGTTTTGTAATATTTTTGTTTTATTTTACTTCAGAGAGAGAGAGAGAGTGTGTGTGTGAGTGAGCAAATGAGGGAGAAAAACAGAGGTTGAGAGAGAGAGAGAGAGAGAGAGAGAGAGAGAATCCCAAGCAAGCTCCACACTCAGCACAGAGCCCAACACAGGACTCAATCCCATGACCCTGGGATCATGACCTGAGCTGAAATCAAGAGTTGAGCACTTAACCAACTGAGCCACCCAGGCGCCCCATTATTAGGTTTTTAAAAACAGTTTTTATGAGACGTCATTGACATATAGAAATTATATTTATATATATATATTTAAGGTGTACAACCTGACGATTTTATATATATTGTGAAATGATCACCACAATCAGGCTTGTTAACATATCCATCACCTCTACATAGTTACCAATGTGTGTGTGATTGAGAAGATTTAACTTACAAACTATCATCCTAGCAAATTTCAAAGTATACAATAAGTATTGTTAACTATTATCACTGTGCTGTGCATTAGAGCTCCAGAATGTATTCATCTTGCATAATTGAAACTTTGTACCCTTTGACCAACATCCCTTTGCTACTAGTTGTTACTAGAATTCTACTAATCTCAGCTAATAAAACAAGAGCAGGACTTAGATACGGACAAGAAAGTGTGTAGCCTTATGGCTACTGGCAGCCATCTTTGCCCTATGAGGAATTTTTATACTGAAGACAGTGGAGCAGAGAGAGAAAAGATCCTGGTCCTCGATGGCATTTTAACTGACTCACTTGGCCAATGCTGGTTTAATACCTGCCCTATCTCTGAATATCCTACGTAAGACAATATATTTTCTTACCATTTGAGCCTGTTTCACATTTCCTACTTGCAGCCAAGAGTCCTACCCAGTGTAACTGCCACAGCATAGCAAGCATGATGATCAACAGCATCCTCTAAGACCGTAAGCCAAACTGGGCTCATTAGGTTACCGTCAAGGCCAAGGAAGGGGAATCGGTGGATTTTTGTGCCAGTTAATAGTATGTGTAAAATAGAAATACATGCATACCTCATTTTATTGTGCTTTGCTTTATTGCACTTTGCAGATACTGAATTTTTTTTTATAAATTGTAGTTTTGTGGCAACCCTGCATCAAACAAGTATATTGATGCCATTTTGATAATTCTCACAATATTTAACACTATTTCATTATTATTATATTTGTTACACTGACCTGTGGTCAGTGATT